TGTTAGCAGCGAGGAGACTATATACATTATTTAATATCGATGCTATCGGATAACTTATTAAAAGCATCAATTAGAAAGTTTTTAAGTTCTTTGTTGTCTGACTTTTAAATGGGGGAGTGATCAGAGCTTCATATTAAGTGCATGAATCAGTCATATCTTGGTTTTAGTTGAAAGGCAATAAATGAATCAAGATCTAAAGACATGAACTCTACCTACCAGCAGTGTTTAAAGCAGCAGCCTCTGTTATGAGGGGATTCCCGTTTGACTGACCATCAGGCTTTCGGTTTCCCACATGGGATACATGTGAGAGTGTTTGTGTCTGCAGAGATTCCCAGAGACCGACAGAGCTTAGGAGTCACACACATGCTCACACACATAGAAAAGGGGGTTGGGAAGTGCAAATATAGAACGGTCATAAATAGAATTGATATTCTATGTGCAGGCTGGATTTCAGAGAACATGTGTGTATGTGAGTCCGTGTGTGTCTGTGCTTCCCCTGGGCACAAATGTCTGTTCCCACGACCTGCCCTCCATCCGTTCTTCCTTCCTTCAATCCTTCCTTCTGTCTGTCCCTCCATTCACGGGCCAGTGTAATCAAACAGAGGCTGCTTTGAACAGAAAGTGAACGGGGGACTCAGAGTGCTGATACGCTCTCCATCTGTGTCACTATCAGAAAAAGCTGATCACTGAATCATCTGCAGGAGTAAGGAGTAACAAACATTTGAGTACAATGTCAGAACTTTGATTTAAACACTTTAACACTGACTTGAAAATCATCCGGGTTTCCCTTGTTTGCGATTAAATTTACATACAGAAAAAAACTAAAAAGGATTAAAACAAAAGGAAAAAAGGACAATAATTAAAAAAAATTGAACAGTCGCTCAGTGTGAGGTGAAGAGGTTTGAGTTTGTCTTGAAGTTTCCAGTAGAAGTAGGAGTACTTTGTTCAAGGATTTACACTTCCTGCTGCTGTATTGAATTCTACTGAAGGTCTAAGAGGAACTTTTTTCTCGTCTTCATTTTACCATGAGCTTTAGTTATAGGCCTGTAGGAATATTGATACAGCTGAGTATTGTTGTGTTGTGTTTTGTGATAATGTATGAGTTACCGTGTGCGTACTAGCCAATTAGAGACAGAGTGTGTGTGTGTGTGTGTGTGTGTGTGTGGGGGGGGGGAGAAAATTACAGCATACTTCTAAATATTGTCAACCAATTGATGGTGTGAATAAGAGGAGATTTAGAAGTGGGTATACCCTATGGGGACTGAAAAATAGGTGAGTATACTTCATATACCTGCGTTTACCCTCTACACCTCTGCTTGTAACTTCCCTTTCTGTCTCTGAGCTGTGTCATGTTCCATGAAGGGGTTACCTCCCATTTACATGTCTTTGATGCTTCTGCATCCAAAATAGGCCAACTTAAAAACCACTATTCCAGCAGAAAAACTACAGAAACATCATATGAAAATACTAACTTGCATGGCAGAACTTGATTTTTTTATGCGATATCCCTCCCCGAAAACGACCTCGCAACCAATCAGCTTCATCTTGTAACCGTTTGTTGGGACTGCCAATCACAGCTTTGTAGGCTTCAAAGCGTGTGTACACAAAACTGTGTACAGTTTTACACTTAAATGCTGCTTTGCATGATTACACTATTATGAATGATCTGATAATACAGGTATACAGGATAATATTCTATATTACTACTGAAATTCTGCATTTTGATAACAATACAGTCAGTACTGACAACATAAAGTTATTTCCATTCATTGATCAGTGCCAGGATTCAACCATCTTCTCTTCCACATACACAGCACATTAACATAACATTTGCATAACAAAACCCTACATACTGTTCATAATCAGACAATTCATCTGTCAGAGGACACAAACAGAATCATTAATGAGCTGTTTCCCTGTCTTTACTATGTCTGCAGTGACACATGAAGACAAAAAGCTTTATTCTATTACGGGTGGTGGGAGGCGATTTAGTGCTACAGCTCCGATCAAATGAATGCGGGCTCGGTTGAGTCATCGGATTCACCACCTGATTATAGCTTGCAATCAGATTGACATAAGGCCTGCACATTCTGAAGTTCCTATTCTGTGTCAAATACAATTAAATGGGACGGCCGGAGCCACAATTAGAATCTTTAAAAAGCTGTTCAGTGCCTTCAATACATTCTGATGGATTCTCAAAGCCAATTATCTGTTTTTTCTGAGGCAATACTGTACCTCTTTTTTACACACATTTCACATTTTTAATGAGACATAACTAATATTATGAGTTTATCCACACACAAAAAAACAGGAAATGCATTTGAGAATGAGCTCTAAACTCCTCAGAGTAGATGTTGTTTCATCTTTTTTAGTTGGTGAAATTGCATTTCAAAAACGAAACCCAACAGAAGAGAGAGGGACAATTGACAGATTGAAAACAATGACAATTATAGTCATCAATATTTAGGTAAGTGTTGGACAAGATCTCCTGGAAAAGACTAAGATGGAGCTCCTTGAGAAGAATAGAAATAACTGTTCAGAAAGAGGAAAAGAGAGGTTGGAGAGGAACCAGATTGAAGTATTGATAATGAAGTCATCTTTGATTATGGTTGGGTTTGGTTGCATGTGCTGGCGGTAGAGATTTTGGTTTGTGTTATGTGATTGTGAGAACTTTGTAGGGTACTGATGTTGCAGGTGTAGGAAGAAATAAGTAAGGTGATATAGTAGAAAAAAATGTGATGTAATAATGTAAAGCAAAAAAGTCAAACTTACAGCATTAATCACAGTGATGATAATGTAATAGAGAAGTAACAGAATATATATGCAGCATGTATTAAACCTAAACACATGCACATGTGCACGCACCCACAAACAAACATCACCCACTTAAATATGTAATGATGTGTGCTTGTACTTTGTTTGTTATCATATAATATTATCTTCTATGATATGGTGTTGTGATCATTTAGGTTTGATACATATTTAACATCAAGCTGCCTGATGAGACCTTTAAAAAAAAAAAAAAGCTCAATTTGAGATGAGACGTGTTTTATTTGGGCAAATCAAAAGCTACAGTGCCAAGCAGAGCCAGTGTCACACAACTTGGTGAAAAGACACTGAGTTAAGAGCTGGTGCTTGGAGTCATTTTGTTGCTTTGTTACCAAAGAAAATTGGCAAATGTCTCCAGAAAACTTGCTTTGTGTGCCAGAAAATTGAGGTCCTAGCAATTAAGGATAATTTTAAATCCAATACCGACTGTTCTGAAGACACAAAGAGTGGAAACATCTGAGTTGTAAAAAATATTTCATTGTCCTAAGTTCACATTCAGTCCATCACCTTTTACCTCATGAGCTGGTTGTCTGTATTTACACAATCCAAATATCTGTAAATCGGCTTCCTTGTGGTTTCTCTCAGTTAAAGAGAGCCATGAAAGATCAGAGCTTGTGTCAATGAAAGAGCTGAAAAACCCCATCTTCAGTGTGCGTGTGTAAACAGAGACTCGGCCAAAGAAAAGAACAGGAGGGTTGAAAGAGTCCAGATGTGTGGGGAATAAACTGCAATTCACAAGTAGCTTCAAAATATTTCTGATTTCTGAAATTAGGGTCGAAGCCTTCTTCAGCCTGCTATGGAGCATTATTCCATTTTCAACCTCCCTCCCTTTTGTTTAATCCCTTTATCTCACAGGCACTCTAACTTCATTTCCACTAAGTCTCTATCTTCGTCTTTGGGACAAATCCATGTGGTTTGCCACCTTTTAGCTCTTTTTATGTATTTTCTCTGACCATCTGTTCCTTTTAGGATGTTGGAAGTTCTCTTCTGTTTTTGTCTACCTCCTCTACACACACACACACACACACACACACACACACACACACTTCATTAACATCATCATCTTTGTCCTCATCATCACAATCATCATCATCTGGAGACCAGCCGCCGGTTGCCTATACAGTCTCCCTCATTTCTGCCTTTTTCTCTGGCACACACACAGTCACACACACATCTGGAAACAGTCAAGGCGTCTACATGCACGAAGAGGGGGGGCTACCGCTCTCTCTCTCTCTCTCTCTCTCTCTCTCTCTCTCTCTCTCTCTCTCTCTCTCTCTCTCGCGGTATCACTGCAGAGCTGAGCTGCAGGGGCAGCAGAGGCAGAGAGAAGAGTGAGCTCCAACTCCCGATCAGTGAGACACTGACAGACAGAGAGACAGGCTCACAGACAGACAGGCACACAGACTGACAGACCGCCGGACCACCATGGACTGGATCAGGACAGAGAACCCGGTCTCCGGATGAGACAGGACGGCCTGGCTTCTGTGTTTTTTTCGGGGGGACTCTGCTTTAGATACGTGGAATAACGGACTACCTATTGGGAGATTTAACCCCGTGCTACCCGTGATGGAATATTTACGCTCTTCTCATCTCCAAATTGTTCTCCTCTTCTCTTCCTCCTCCTCCTTCTCTTCCTCCACCACCACCACCACCTCTTCTTCTTCATCCTCTCACATTTTGACACACTGCTGAAGATGCGCACGAATGCGTATTTTGCGCACTTCCATTGCGACCGTCACTGACAGCGCCCCGTGCTTTATAACCTTTTGAAACCTAATTTTTTTTTTTTTGAAAAGAAGAAGGGAGGAGGACAGAAAGAAAGAGTGAGAGAGCGAGGTGTGAATTGAATTGAACGCGGTGCTAGTCTCATGTTTCTCGCCTAGGGCCCGGATGTACCGAGAGATGCACCGGTGCGTTTTCCCAACCGGTTCCGCCGAAAGCTCTCTCTTTTTTCTCGCCTTCACCTCCATCATGGGGATTAGGTAATATTCACTCCATCCGAAGAAACCCTCCCCGTAAAAAAGAAAAACGGATTACCCTCAAAAAACTGTCCGTGCCAGACAGTTCTTTCTTCTTTTCTCCCTTTTTTGATTTCTTTAGTTTTGGGGGGCTTTTTTTTTTTTTTTTTACCTCCTCGTGTTATCTCCCCTCCTTCTCCTCTCTACCTCTCTTCCATTCACCCATAGGGATAACGCCGGACTACATTTATGGTAAATGAAAGCAAAAACATGTACATCCCGGAGGACACCCTTGAGAACCATCAAGGTATGTGATTTTTTATTTTTTTCAAAGACGCAAACATGTTGTAAGTGTGCATGAGAGGAGGAGAGGAAGAAGAGGGAGGGAATAAGAGGGGTATGATGATCTGGAAATGGGAATGGGATAGGGGAAGAGGAGGAGGTGGAGGCAGGGGGGAAAGGGGTGCTAGCTTCTCTCCTGGTTATCAACAGATTCCCCTCGACTTTTCCTCTGTGTGTTTGTTTGTTTTTTAATCTTCTCCACGCTTTATGAGCAGTTTGTGCAGCAAGTCAACTTGTGCCAAAATAACGCAACAAATGCTGCATGAGAGATGTGCACGATGAGGCCTCTTGCCTGCTCGGTTAAGTCCACATTTGGGGGTTTGACAGGCCTGTGAATATCAGAACAGTGGCATAATGGGTGGGCACTGGTCATATTTAGCCAACAGGCACTTTGCAGGCGGAGATCTTTATTGTTCAAGACAGAAAATGACAGCAAACGCGCGTTTCTATAAATGATTTGGCAGATCTTCTCTTCCTTTAAGGCTTTCTGTGAATAACCTGCACACGCAGGTTTTTAATTGTGTGATTCAGAAATGAAAACACTGGATGGTGGTTAAGGAGCAGGAGATTGAACAGCAAACACGGATACGCGCGCTCGATCACAATCGATCCTCCCTTCCTCTATAATCAATAGTCGTATTTGTCATGTTTTAATCGAAGTTTTCACGTCCGCGAGGGTCTCCTTAATAGCAGCGCGCGAGAGGAATCGCACAGGGATGACAGGTGGCAGTAGGGGGGGGGCCCTGCAGGACTTATTTTGCCTGCTGAGAACTGGGTTGATGATGTGCGATTTTATAGTGGAGGCAGTCGAGGATAGTGTTGTTTTCAGTACAAAACACGACTAAACTTCCACATGAGAACTTTAAAAAAAAAAAAAAATAGTTTAAGGGCCAAGCCATGCAGAGCGTGAGCGGAGATCCGGGGCTGTGTTGTGTTTGACGGGGAGGAAAGGGTCTGTTTGCATTGCGCAGTATTACGCGTCGCTCCTTCCACCCACGTTGCAGAGAGCAAAGCCCAGCGATGCGTTCATCGCTTCATGCAAGGCCCGGACATTGTAATTCAACACTGGCTTTGTTTATCACGTCGCTCTTATCATCTTCACGAGCGTTTACAGCGGCGGCGTCGTCGTCGCTTTCGTCCGCCACTTCTTCCATCACAACCACAGCACACCTCTTCGCCTTGGCGACAGGTTCCATAGCAACAGGGGATGAGGAGAGGGGTGGCGGTGTGTGTGTGTGTGTGTGTGTGTGTGTGTGCGTGCGTGTGTATGTGCTCTGATCAGTGTTGCAGCGAGGCACGTTCACCAACAGTTTGCTAACGAGGAGCAAACTAATCATAGGTTGGATGTTACCTGCAGAGGCTGCAGCATAGTTGAGATGAAGGCAGCACAGACAGAATGGTATCATCGTGAAGGGCAGGTGTGTGTTTGTGTGTAGGAGAAATTACACTACCTCGATCACAGTAATAGACCTACCTTTACTCCATCTCAACATTCACGTCTCAAATGGCCCTTATTGTAAGCAATGCACATCATCATCAGCATTATCATTCAAACTGATCACTGCACTTCAGTCCGTCAGTCAAATCAGGGAAAAAACAAAACAAACTTGAAAGACACAAATAGGATTTTAATGTTTAACAAGTAGCTCCTTTATGTCTTCAAACTTACAGAAAATGCCAAGATGAGCTGACACTGGGGTTACAAACGGCTTACTTTTGGGTAAAACTGAATTCAAATGTCACAATAAAAGGTGTTTCAGCTATGACTGCACATGGCTGCAACGGAAAACAACCAAACCTCAGATGAGGCCTATTGGTGGAAGGTGTGTTTGTCCTAATTCTCTATTTTACGTTGAAAAATACACACCTGACTTCTCCAGATCAACAAATTGTGCCCAAATCATCTGATTTACATAACATTGAAAACTGTTAACACCCTGTCTTGATATTCATTTTAACTCCCTGATAATCATTGTGATGAAAGTATAGTTTAGGCCTATGCAAAGTGAACTTCAAAGTCTTCTTGGGTGGTGGTTTCAGCACCACGGACAGTTCATTCTTCATTGGTGTATTGACAGCTCCATGACAGCTGCCGAAGAGTTACAGAGACACACGTGAGCACTGATTGTATCCAGCTATACACAAACACCTGCTTTCATATGTTAGAGACTTGGGTATTTTGCTGATCAAATACATGATATAGAGTGTTTCAGTGGGAGAAACCTAGATTCATAAAATATCAACAATTTTAAAGCATCCCATGTTAGATTTACCTTAACTACTTTTATTTATCAAAGGAAGAGGCTTTTAAAAAGGAGGGAAACATAAGGGGTCAAGTTTAAATAGCTCCCTGCAGATATATAAGATGACAGGGTTTATATTGTGGTGTAGTTCTTAGAGATCATCTTTAACCAAAAGTTTTAACAGTTCTAATGTAACTCCCACTGACAGCAAGGATAAAGCCCAGCAAGCTGTTTTTGACCCTGACCTCTCTTCTCTGTGTCCATGGTGTCCTCTGTTCTCCTGCAGGGAAAATGAGTCCTCCCAACACATCAAAAAAGAAGGTAGCTAATAATCTGAAGCATTAGTTGCAGTTCCTACTCCATATCTACATCCTCTCTGGGGTTGCAATAGAGTTAATGTAAAAGAAAATATGACTTGTCACATGTAGAGCATGGAAATGTTTTGGAACACACACATGCAACCATGCTGATACACACACTCATTAAAGCAGCCGTTTTCAGCAGTGCAATCAGAGAGTTAATTTTCCCTGTGGGCATTGTGCCAGAGGCATGATACGTCTGCGAAGGTTATTAATTGGTTTGTGATGGTAACACTTAGGTGCTGGCTGGGCCCCCTGCCAATTCACCTGACTCTAATGATTCCACCCAATATAGTCATTGATTTCATTGGAGTCATCTCAAAAAGAGATGCTGCAAAAACCCCTGATGTGTTCACTGGTATGCTTTCATGAAGAACTTTTGCCTGGTAATGTTGCTGCAGAGTGTTTTCGGCCTTATTTAAGTGCTTGTAAAAAGTCTTGGTATAGCTTACTTTTGTCAGACACAGTAAAGAGAAATAAAGTTTAGAAGATTATATTGGACTAATTTTTTTAAATTTTGTTTTAAAACGCGTGGAAAAAACAGCGTGTTAAAGATTTCCCCTGCCACAAATAAAGGAAACTAATGAAGTATTTCTTTTAAATGTGTTTTAATTAGAATCCACAGGAGCAGAGATGTAACTGAGCGAGCTAAGCCTTCTATTTGTATGCTTAAGGTGGATGGAAATCTGGCCAATTAACACAAATCTATAACTCTATCCAGTTGTTGCTCAATATCAGGCGCAGAGGTGAAAAAGATAGGAATTGAGAACTGGAGAACTTTTTTCAGGCTGTGGCTTCAGCTCTGAATGTTGTCTTTCAAAAACGTAGCCTGGGTCTGTTTATAGCTTTGTTTAATCCTCATCAACTAGTATACTCTCACACTCGCCTCTTACTTACCTGGTATACTATAATACAGTCTTTTGGTCCTGCTCGCAAACCAGTTTTAGCTAAAAGAAGGTTATAATTCATTTGTTTTTGCAGTGTCTTTTCTAAAAGGGCCTGGTATTTATAGTAACAATCACTTCAGCTCACTTTATATTTTTAAAGTTGACATTTTGTGCAGATAACACCAACACTGACTGTCTCTATTATAAACAAAAAATAGCTCACCTTGTTACCATGTTGCAATTAAATATGACCCATTTTGATCTAACAATGTCCCCCTTTATCCCCTCCTCTCACAGAAAAATGAAATTGCATGCGCTTTTCACACAAAAGGACACTGCCGTGTGTGCGTGCTCGTAGTTTCATTTGTATTTGTGTCTGTAATTATCCATGTCTGTGAGTAGCAGAGAGACAAACAGACTCTCTTTTCAGTGATTCTTCCCCTACCTTGCCTTACGCAGAATGTTACCACCCTTAATAATTCAGTGGCAGAGGCAGAAAAGCTGAAATAATAGGACAAAATTGTTGCATGTGAGTTTTAACCTTCGTACTCGTGCTCAACTTAACCGTCCCTCATATTTATTCAACCACAGTCTGCTGCTGCCCGCTGAGCTGCTTTAGCAGAGGAATTGGGGTTTAGTAACAGTTGATTCAGTCGTTGTGAAGTTAGTCCTGCTTGCTCAGACAAAAAGCATGCACGCAAAGCTTCTTTTATTCAGATCAATCGAGTGTTTCCTATTTTATTAAATCCATTGCGGATGTTTCATGTCTCAGTCAGCATTTCGATTCCCTGACTAAACCTAAAATGCATCAGAAACTATCGATCCAACCTACATTTAACAAACGTTTCAAAAGTTGTTTTCTTCTCCTTTTGAGGACAGACCTGACAAAGCCTGACATCATGATGTTGTTATTTCAGCAAACTTAATTCCCATTCATAGCAAGAAAATCTGTTGCTTCTCTGTTTACACTGCAGACTTGACATTCGAATAACGCTAACATCTGGCTCTACCGGAATAACTGAGAAATTCCCATCCATTCCGAGGCTTATCGCCTATCTGATGATGATAGACAATGATCGCAGAAAGCTTCTAAAGATTGCCCGGACTCCAAGATAGACTCCTTTTTGTCAATATTAAAAGCTCTGAGCAACTGCGCACATGTGACATACTGAAACAATGACGAACAGTTAACTTGGCTTGTGTTGGTTTTCTGGGACAAAGGACTGTTTAAACCTGGTTCATAATACTTTTTTCTCCCCTGATAGCCTAACCATTATACAACAGGCCTTTTCAGGTAAACAGAGTAACGTTAGAAAATAATAAAACTGACACAAACATTTGCATCTGTATGACATGCATTTGACACTAATCTGCGTCACATTGAGATACCAAAGGGGTTAGACGAGTCGATATTTTATGACCTGTGATAATAATAGATAGGTTTGCTAGGTGGCCAGAAACAGGACACAAAATAAA